AGAGAGAAAGAGAGAAAGAGAGGTGTTGTGTTACAACACCAGTGTACACTGATGGAGCATCACTGTTCTCCTGCACAGGGTGGCTGTTCCACCTGACTGCTGCTATCTGGTTCCTGCCATTGTTCTAATGATGTCTGGGTGATTTAGTCCATATGGAATGGACTTGTCCTGTCATGGTTAATTACTAGAAGGATGTTCACTGGTTAATGAAAAGATAACAGCTTCTCTTACTCCAAGAAAAACTAATGGCCTATTTTGTATTCAGCCTGCAGAAGGAAGTTGCACAGGCAGTGGCAGGACAGTCACGTAGATTTTTTACTGACAATCACATCAGGTCTAACAGCAGCAATGGCCAAAGGCCATGCAGGAAGTTTGGTCATGTAAATATGAAATATATTCATGCAGAAAAAAATAGATTTAAAGTTGTGTTGTTCTATATCATCTAGAAACCTGATATCCTGATCTGAAGCACTGAAAAATCCCCAGCCCTAACAGCCCATTCTGGCTTATCCAGATTTGAATACCTGACAACAGGTACACTCCTCTGTGAATTAGGGAGCATTTTTCCAACCTACATGGCAAGAGCACTGACAGACCTTTCTTCTCAACTGCTTTCATCTTGTACTGCACATTCATGTGATACTAAACACCAAGCCTGGAGGATCAAGGAGTTATTTGACATATTCCTGATACCTCCCTATGTGAAAGCAGCTGACTGCTGAGCTAATCAAAGGGGGATAGGAAAGGAAAAGCCGACATGAACTGAGATAAGGTACACGTGTCAGCTGTGAGCCATTTCTGCCCCTGCTCACACTTTCAAAAGCAAGGGAGGTTGTTCCTCCCTCACTACTGGTGCTTTATCACAATTCCCATCATGTTTATCCTGTGGCACTGGAAGAACAACTGAAGAATTTTCATGCAGAAGCTGACAGTGGATCACTGCCCAGCAGAACTTGTAGTAGGACAGATCCCTCAGCAACTGGGCTAAGCATCTCCAAAGGTGCTCAAATACCAATCTTTCATCCAGCACCTGTGAGGTAAACTCTATTCTGCATTCTTTCAGGCAAGCACAGGTTGTGTGCCACAAGAGGGACAGGGACCAAAGGATCCCACACTTCTCACACTGCTCACTTTTGGGAAGGAGGATGAGTGAGAGCTATCAGCAGATTTGCAGTAACATCCAGACAGACTAAAATGGGCCTTGATAGCCAAAGAGGAGAGTTAACAGAGTTGAAGGAAGCTTCTGAAAAATCACAATGTGTTGCTAAAAATTAATAGAATTGAGTATTTTACTTTTTTTTTTTTCCTCTGCAGTTTTTCAATCCTGCTTATGCCTTAAGTTATGTTTATGCAGGCATAAACAGGATTTTGGAAGAAAGAAGCTTTTTAAAGTCCCTCAAATCAGACTGGAGAGAAAAAACATCAGGCAAATTAAACACAACTGGTACAAGGCAGCCAGGATACAGCAGTGAAACACATAAATAAATATATTCCAAACATAAAATAGACAGAGCTCACACAAGCATTGCAATAGCAGATTTCAAAATTCCTAGAGCAGATTGCCTTTGTCCAAAAAAATAATTTTAACTAGGTACTGCTGTAGCTCAAGGAAGAAAAACTACCTCTCAAAGCCTCAACTAGGCAGTTTAATCAGGAGGCTGAAGATTAAAATAAGGAACTGAAATAAAGGAGAAGTGAAAACAAGCAAACAACACTGCATTTTCTTTTGCATTTAAGCTCAGAACAACCTGCCACACAGCCTAAACACAGATCAGTTGGTCTGCTGGAAGCTGATGGACACCTAGGAAAACAAGTGACTGATGAGGGAGCTCTCCTCATTGCTATTGTAGTATAAAATTACTAATGAGTTTTGTAAGGATTACCTGAGGAGCAAAGGCTTTTTGGTACTAGTAGGATGCAAAGACTGAAATACCTGGGCACAGAAAGCTCTCCTTGGTCTGGTTTGTGGGGGTTGCATCTCATTGTCACAACAGTTGCTCGGCCATTTTCACAGGAGGTTGTCACTGTTGAAGACCTAATGTCAAGCAAGAGGAGAAAAGGAACATATTTCCACTACATTAAATGGAAATTACTGTTTCAGAGGTCTGTAAACACTCATGCAGCTGTAATACTAACAAAATACCCTTTACCACAATGGTTTTGACTTTGCCAGGTGAAAAACAAACAAACAAACAAAAAAAAAAAGAGCAACAGAATCAGGGTAGGCCTCTCCAATTCATTTAAATCTCAAAGTGCTCTGAGATGCTACTCAGGGAACTGCTCTGGTTTTCTAAATCTGCTGCATCAAGGAGTGAACTTTGCCATAAACAGAACAAAATGATTGAAAAGGAGAATCACAGGTACTGTGGTTGGTGTGTTACTCTGCTGGAGAGGCTCTGAGGGCTCACTCCCAGCCTAGCAACCTGAGAAACAAACTGTCCTGTGTGGAAACCCAGGGCACTGGGAATATTCCTCTGTGTGCTCTGGGGTGCCCAGACCTCCAGGGCAGCACTGACTTTGACCCTCATTCATGGAGAAAGTTTCCCAGACTTCAAGGTAGACTGGAATCCACAAAAGTGTGAAATAGATTATAGAGAGTAGTGTAGGTGTATCACTTAGTGAGAAATTGAGGTTTTGGGATTTTTAGTATGCTGTGGATGGAAGCAAGGTGGAGGGCACAGGGTGTCATCCTGGGTTTCTTCTTCATGCTTCTTCTTCCTCCTTCGCCATGGGTTTGGGTGGCATTTTGTAATTGGGCAGAAAAGTCCCCATCGTGGGCACTGTGGGATCAGTTATTGGGTTAAAAGGGAAAATAATCTAGGTGTCAGTTCTTAATTGGAGAGTTTAGTCTTAAAAAGACCTTGTAACAAGAGATTGTTGGCCATTTTGTGCCTTCTAACGAAAAACTGCCCAGCTCACAGTAGTGAGACTGTTTTACTGATAAGAAATAATAAACAGCTGAGTCTGAACATGAATTACTGTCTCAAGTGCCTTCAATCCAGACCCAGAGAAACCCACAACCTGTACCCCCAGTTAAAGGGGATTTAAAAGATCTTATTCCAGCATGATAGACCTTGTAAGCCAAGTTCATAATATGCTCAAAATAGGGTCTCTGGTGTGGGGCTCAGTTTGCAGAATCAGACACATAATTTAAGTATTCACATAAGCATAAAATGCTGATATCCAAAGTCCTATATTCAATTAAGTCCCAGCTTAGAAACACAGCCGACATGAAAACCAGCATGTAGACATCTGAACTGAGCTGATCTTTGAGCTGCTTCCTACCCAAACTGAGGCATTCTTTTTATGGAGAAGAGTGAAGAATGGGAAAAGCATTCTAGTAACTGTGTGTATTGAAACAATTACTTTTAATCTGTAGCATCAAAGTAAACACAAATGAAAGTGAAAGAAAATATGCAACCACAAGTGGACATTTCCAAGTCATATATGAGAAAATATGGAAAGTAACAGGACACTGAAAGTGTCATCTGGATGAATCAAAGCTCTGGGATCACTTTGTATGGATCAAGACTTATTTAGATTTGAGTAAAGAGTGTTTGCTGATTTCATAAGATGATCTTCAACATGTCAATCAATATCAGGCAGATATTGCTTAAAGTGCAAAGGTTAAAGGTGGGTTATAGATCCCCCCTCACAGTTTTAGTTTCCTCTAAACAAATGAAGACATCTGACAATGCAATAAACAGCACTTTTTACCCACTTGTAAAAGAAATGCACATCTGGTATTTTGCTTGGAGAGGGAGGAAATATATCTGCCTTGATGCTGATATTTTCCAGCACTGTTTCAACAGTAGCTCCTAAAATGTAAGAAATTAAAAATAAAAAAAAAAAAAGCAATCTATTAATGAATTTTAGAGGGGTCCATGTGTAATATTTTCTCAATCTGAAAGCTGTGGATCTCACTTTATAGCATTTAATGACATCGTTGTACATTACACACACTTTTTTCTAACTAAATTTTGCAGATATATATGTTCCTCATACAGTCTGATTTCCTCATGCAGACAGAGCAAAAAAAAAACAAACTCAAACACCTGTGTAAATACTTATTACTCTTTTATATTAATTTAAAGCAATTACTGGATATTAAAGAAACATTAAATAATTTAGGCTGGCAAAGGACTGCTGAAGATATCTGATACAACCCTCAGAGCATATGCCTTGAGTGTACAACCCTCACACATCAAAACCAGGTAATGACCTGAGCAATTTGCAGTGCTTTGAGAGATGGAATAACAAGACTCAGAAGGATTATGGAATCATGGGGAAGCCTTGATGGCACCTTTTGGAACAAATGACAGGCTGGTGTATGAACTACATGGATTCTGGGCAAAAGCTGAAAAGGAGGAAAATGCAAGTACTCAAAGTTCTTAGAGATCTTTCCAACCCCATGAACCAAAGAAGACAGAAAATATTGGTGCTCCACTGCAACATTTCAGAAGAGGGAGTTGTACAAAGGGGGCTGCATCCTTCCCAGGAGTTAAAAACTGATAGAACAAGAAGTGGTAGTGGTCAGAAACTGGTGAAAAGACTGAAGAAATAAAGTTTTCCACTTGCTCTTGAAACAATTGATAGAATCACAGACTCACAGAATAGTTTGGGTTGGAAGCATCCTTAAAGATCTTCTTGTTCCAAACCCTGCCCTGGGCAGGGACACCTTTCACAGACCAGGTTGCGCAAAACCCTGTCCAACCTCTTCTTGAATGCTTCCAGGGATGGGGCAGCCACAGCTTCTCTGGGCAACCTGTGCCATTGTCTCACCACCCTCACAGGGAATTTATTCCTAATATCTAATCTAAACCTACTCTCCTTAAGTTGGAAGCCACTCCACCTTCTTCTGTCACTGCATGCTCTTGTAAAAAATCCCTCTCCAGCACTCTTGCAGCCCCTTTAGGTTGCAAGATGCTCTCTAATCTCTAAGATGCTCTAAAATCTCCTTGAAGCCTTCTCTTCTCCAGGCTGAACAATTCCAGTTCTCTCAGCCAGTCCCCCAGGAGGGGTGGTCAGCCCCCTGACCACGTTTTGGCCTCCTCTGGACTCACTTCAGCAGCTCCACATCCTTGCTATGTTAGGAAAGGCAAACTTCAACCATTTTAAAATTTAGCAACTGAGATTAAAAAAAGGTGCCAGAAGAGCTTGACATCATTTCTTTGTATTAGAAAAAAAGTCAGGACTATCTCCTTGTTTTTCAAGACAATAATTGCCCTCTCTCATTCCTCTGGTGGCAGGAGACAATATTGGCATTTACTGGCATGAATGTTTGTGAACTAGAAACCCATACCTAAGAGTGACCTTTAACAGAGCTTTTGATGACATTGAATTGTCAAAAGACTCATGGAGAGGGGATATGGTGACCTGAACTGCAATTTGTCTCTCACAATGAGACGCAATAATGGTGATGGAAAATGGGTCTCAGTTCATGGACAGAGGCACAATGACAGAAAGTCCACAAGAATTTAGGGAGAACCTCTTTGGTTGAACAAATCTGATCTCATTCCTTGAGTGCTGATGAACTTGGTTGCTGAAGTTATGTAAATGTATCAAGTATTTCACTAGTTACCACATGAGGTTCTAATTAAAAAGTTAGCAGTGTACTATCAATTAAGAGCACACTCTGCATTAAAAACTATTTAACTAAGTCATTATAAAATTATCTGGCCATGGGAAATTCTCATCAAACATGGGATGTCTCCAGGCTTCTCTAGACATCAATACTGAAGTGTGAAAATGCAAGATTAACATCAGGGATCTGCAAGTAACTGTATAATCCATGCTGGTAAAGTGTGTAGATGAGACAAAGATTAAGAGGATTAAAAATAAAATTCAGAGCAACTTTGTTGCTTGGTTCACTTAGCAAGATGGTCCCAAACAAACTCTATAATTTAATTTAATTTAATTTAATTTAATTTAATTTAATTTAATTTAATTTATATTATATTATATTATATTATATTATATTATATTATATTATATTATATTATATTAATAAAATATATAATACAAGTGCAGCAAGAATTGAAGGCCAGTCTTAAGAAAGAGAGATTTCCTTTGGAAACTGTAACTTCGACATCAGATCCAAGAAGCCATCACTAAATCCCTTAAGTTTAGAGAAAGAAGGATGCAGGGATTCCAAATGCAAAATTTTTATTGCCATTATAGCAAATTAAATACTAGAATACTATTCCATTCTATGCTTTAAAAAAATATAAAAAGTTACAGAAAGTGTAGAAAGAGCCTCAAAAGTGCACTTTAGGTGAGCACTTTAGGTGCTCAAAATATATACATGATAGCAAGACAAGTAGAAGAACTTGGTCTACTTAATTTATCAGAACAGTGTGACAATTCCAGTACACAAAATATTTCCTCAAGAAGGAAAACATTGGTGTGATCTGGAGAAAGACTAATAAAAAGCAAGATCTGGAAACTGAAGTCAGGGAAATTCAAATAGGAGACAAGCCTGCTTTAAAAACAGAGATATGATGTTTGATCAGTGGAAAAAAATACCAGTGACTGTGGCAAAGCTGTTATTTCTGGCAGTCTTAAAAGCCCAGGTTGAATGCTCTTCCAAAGATATGCTTTTGTCAAACATAAGTTTCTGGGCTCAGTGCCAGGGAGAAAGTACAAACACTCAGTGCCTGTAATGGATAGGTAAGCAGAGCAAATGACTTCATTGTCTCATCTGGCCTCAGATTCCGGGAATTTGTGATCTGGACCAGCGTAAAACTTAATGATGTGCGCAGCCACGTGCTGCCCTAAGCCTCCTGGTTCCTTGCCTAATTATGTCCCCACATCAGTTTCTTCTTCTAAAATTGCCCAAGTGGGATCTTGGCACAGACAGAAACACTTGGACTAAAGTGACTCTCACAGTCATTGGTCTTGCCCTGAGTGAGGTGGGTACAGAACATAAAACCAGTGCTTTTTAATTGCACTCTCCAGATTTTTGTGCTGAAATGCTATGCAGTGTGAGACCCACACAACCAAGCACAAGGAAGAGTGAATAACACAGAAACAGAAAACTAAAAATGTGCACAGCCCTTGCTTTTCTCCTCCAGCCATCAGCTGAACTGAAACATCAGCAAAACACGCAGGCATCTGTGCAGAGCTGCTTCGCAGCTCAGGAACCCTCAGACTGATCCTGGGCTGCCCCTTTACCCTTCCCTCAAAGTAATGCAGCTGCTGAGCCAGGAAGGATTTACTCTGCAGCCCTAAATACACGAGAGTGCATTCACAACAGCAAGGAGAAGACAAACTGTGTACCTAAGAACCTGTCAGCAAGGCTGTTGGACTGCAGAGCCAGGGCTGTTCGGAAGCCCTTGCTGTCTGACGGGATGATGGTGGACTGACAGACAAAAGCTCCCACAAAATTGGAAAAATCTTCTGATTCTGCAACCATGTCCTTCAGAGTAACATCTGTGATATTGTCAGTGCAAATTGCCATCTTCTTCCCCTGTGGACAATCAGGAAAAAAGGGAGAAGCTGTTGGTTGTTGATATTATGTGAAAAAGTTTGGGAAGAGAGAGATTGCAAACTTTCTGTTGCAAACTGGATGAGATTCATTACTTTACCTTACAACAAGTTGATGTCTCTATGTGTCAGTCATAAGAGGGACAAACCACAACAAACTGTGCCATTGTCAAAGCTCCCATTAAAGCCTTGTACAGACTCAGAAATACAATGTCACCTCTGGCAGGTGACTTATCAGAAATCTGTACTGTGGAGCACTCTTCTTTGTTTATCTTGACAGCACAATGTTTACTTGCAGAGCATAGTAAAATGCTTGCAAAGGAAAACCCTATTTTTCTTGCCTTTAAATAATATACTGTAGAATACCTCTTTATTTGGGATTTAATCCAGATAAAATATTTTCAAAGCACAAATGCATGAAATCCCTAAACAGATATATAGCCTTCAAGACTGCTTTAATGTGGAATGTCAAGATCAGTGCTAGAATCAGAGCAACAGCAATGAAAGACAAATAACCAGACTCAGTTTTCCCAACAAAATGCCAAGCACTCACCACCTAACCATATGGTTGGTTGTACTGTAGTACCATTGTAGTAGTTTGGGAAAGTGAAGACCAGATCCACAGAGGAGAGAAAAATATCTACATTTGTGGATCTAGCTGTCAGTAGGTCTAATCCAGGTAGTAAAACACACAAAGAAGCCTAAAAGTATGCAAAATGCTATAAAGAAATGTGACTACTCATTTGTCTTAACTCATGCAAATCCTTTGATACATAGCAAAAAGACTTCAGAACTTCACAGGGCTGAGCATTATTGTTAACTACACATGTTGTCTTTCACGGGACAATGCACAACACTGGTACTGCTCTGAAAGTCAATTTGTGTGTGTGACAACATGCTCTGCTTCAGTCCAAGCTCCAGACCGAGCCTGCTTAACTCACAAACTAAATATATTTTTATGCCACTCTCCAAGGCTGCAAAGTCAGCACTGGGCATCTTAGACACTGGCAGAGTGACCAGGGGCTCTGCATACAGCATCTCCAGTGAAGCAATGAGGGACACATATGGAAAGCAGTTGCCAGCTGAAAGACTCAAATTCTTAATTTGGGCTCCTTGGTGGCAGCACACAAAGGGCAGGGTCATGATGCAAGTGACTTAAAGGCACAGGAGAGAAAAAGCAGGGATGTGACAGGAATTTTCTTCTGAGCTTTATTTATGGCCTATAACACAGTAACTCTGCTCTGGAAAATCACTTGGCTGCTCAAAAGCCCTCTTGCACTGCAAAGCAAGATCCAAAGGGAAGTGTTTGCACAGTATTGGTGACAACTCAGCTGAGAAGGAGTCTTTGTCCTGTCTCATTGTCACCCCAGAGCATCAACACAAGCAACAAATTGGTCCATGCTCCCAACCCTCAAGCCCAGCTGAGCTCACCTCATTCCCACACAGGCTGATGTTAAAGAAGTGGAAGAACTTGGTCCCGCGGGAAGTGAAGCTGGGTCCACTCATCAACGAGCCCACCTGGCTGAGGTTGCTAAAATTGTAATTCAGGCTCTGGTTATCCTTGACATAGGACAGCAGGCAATCACTGAAGCAGGCAGAGTGGTCCTGCAAGGCAGAGGCATCCATTAAAAAGCAGTTATGGAACAGCAGCAAAACATTCACCTCAGAGTTAAAGCACAGGTGCAGACAGGACTGCTTTCCTGTCTGAATGAAGGGGAACTCTGTCCTATTCCTGTAACTGATCTTTCCCTTGGGATAATTCCTATTCCCATTCCAGTCCCTTACAATCACATATCAAGACTAAAATGTTCTCTAAGCCTGGTTTTTCTGTTGTCTGCTGCATTAGCCAAGAGAATGCAATTTCTTGCTTTTTTTTTGTTCTGGGTACTTTTAGGATCCCAATGTTCCAGCTTAAATCCCTGTAAACAGACCAAAACATGTCCTTGGTTACACTTGCATTTTGTAAAGGAAACACAAGAAACAGCTCAAGAAACAAGGACACGATATGAACATAGCAGAAAGCAGGCAGAATACAAACAAACTGGAGCTGTTCTTCCAGTACCTGTGCAGTTCCTTGAACATGATAAATGTTTACTTATGCTTACAGTTTCATGAAAGAGGAACTTGTTACAGGTTTCTAAAGGCCCAGAAACATCATCCAGCTGAGGAAGTCCCTGAGTTTAAAGAGCAGGCAGTGGGATAGCTTTGATAGAAGTAACATAGATACTTGTCCAGTTTGTACACTGTCCACACTACAGCTTCTTGAAATGAACCTTTTTTTGAGCTGAGGTTGCCACTTTTATCTGATTATTTATAGACAGAAATTAGACTAGTGACTGTTGCCCTGGCTTTTTTTAGTTTTTCTAAGCCACCTGCTGTTTACATTCTTGCAATGAACTTTCTCACACAATTTATGTAAATAACTTATTATTTTGCAGTCTTTTATGGAGGAGGAGAGAATTGATGGACTGTTGGTTTGTCCAGTGTCTTTGGAGAGGTGGCATTGTCACCCTCCAATCCACTGTCACTTTTGGAAATCTGCAAATGTTGGAGTCAGAAATTAAAAGTTCTCTTTTTACCATCAGAGAGCTGTGTGTCCACGTTGTGTTATTTCGTGTCCTATTGCTGTTGCATTGTGATTTCAGGATTTACCTCAGAACCTCGGATCCCTCCCCTAATAATTCCCCTCCCTGAACCCTGCTGAGTGCTGTCTGTCAATCCTGGAATTCCAGAAGGGCATTGAGTGATTGGCAGATCCAAAGGATGCCTTCTACCCCTGGGGGGGCACTGGGCCATCCAGGTGTCCTTTGTCCCTTTGTCCCTCCCCTCCTGTACCTGGTTGGTGGCTTCCTACCCCTTCCCTGCCCCTCCTCCCGGGGTTAAAAGAGCCAGCAACCACATGGTTCAGAGTTCTGTTGGAGCTGTTGCTGGATTCAGAGGCCTGTGGGCCAGGAATAAAGCTCTGGATCGAAACCCTCCATCAGAACTGACTCCTTTCCTTCACCACCACCTTAAAGCTTCTCCACTAGAGGTAAGCCTGAGGAGTGGTGTGGGAACCCACAAAATCAGAGGGTTTCGAGAAAGCTGCAAAATGCAGGCCTCAGAGACAGAAGAACTGTGATTTGAGCTAAGCAGCAGCTTCCCATTGTCATAACCATGTAATGAGACTGATGCTGGAAAATAAAACAGCTCAAGACATGCTCCACAGCAGTCCCGTCCCATTTGTGATTTGTACAGAGACCCCCAGCCAGCGACAGAGCGGCCCCTCTGTGAGAAGAGCTCCGTCCTGCCACCACCAGAGCTGCATGCCTGGACTTGTCTCCATGTGCCCAGCTGCAGCACACAGCTACCCAAAAGTGTCTCTGGGGTGAAAACACCACAGTGCTGCTATTTGGTTCAGCACCAAGGGCCAGACAAGCTCAAGCACATCAGTCCAGCTGTATCGGTAATATTCCAATATATAGCAATAAGTGACAACTTTGGTGGGCACATTGGTCATAGCCATGTTCCAGTGCTCACAAGGCACATGCCTGGAGGAAAGCACTAGAAGCAGCCCCCTGAGAGCTTCCAGCTCAACAAACCCTGTGTGCCCATCTCCCAGAAATGCCCAAGCTGGGTACCTTGGTGCTCCTGCTGCCAGGCCCGCATGGGATGCAGGCCTCCCTGCCGTACACCTGGTGGATGGACAGGAAGGTGTTGTCAGGACACTCCTTGCACTGGCTGCTCTCCTTCTCGATGTAGTGTCCTGGAGGGCAGGGCACACAGGACGAGCCCGACTGCTCGGAGCCCAGGGCACAGGCCCGGCAGGAGGAGGCCACTCCATCCACTGCGTTGGTCACCGTGATGGAGTAGATCTTGGCCATGTCATTGATGAACTGCCTGCTCTGGAACGAGAGCCAAGGAAACCACCCTGGGGGTTTGTCACCACATTTCTCTTCACAGAGAAAAGCAAGGCACAATTCTTCCCAAAAATATTTCTGGGTTTCACATTCTCTGAACCTCAGAGAAAGAAAACACAATTTTTATCTCATTTGCTGTGCCTGTGTTTGTGCAAAAGTAGAATGCAATATGGAGATTGTTTACCCAGTGATGGTGTTTTGTTTCCTTGGCCTATAAGGGCCAAGTGTGCGTGTGTCAGGACTGTCAGGTGACAATCACGATATTCTGTGCAGTTGAGTGCTTGGCAGATTCAGTTTAGATGTAATATAGTATAGAATAATATAGTATAATGAAGCAATTAATTAGCCTTCTGATAAGATGGAGTCCTCCTCATCAGTCCTCCCTGCCAAGGAGATCTCTGCAAATACTATACCCGGTGTCATCACACTGGGGACACCACCCACACCTCTGTGCACCAATTCGGGGGTCAGCTTATCCATGGCTCTGTCCTTGCTCATGGATTGTTTATGCACAGCTGCCTCCCTGCTGTGCTTTGTGGTGAGAGCCACTCGTCCCTTATGGGAAACCTGTGAGCTTCAACAGAGAGCTGGAGTTCTGGCAGAAAGTGTCCAAAGAATGCTGTCTTGTAAAGCCCCACACATAAAGAAGTACTTACATCTTGGCCTTCATTTATTCTCTGAAAGGCCCAGGTGAATGTGAAGGAAGCATTTTTGGAGATGATGTGAGTGTAGGATTGTCTTTCTTTACTTTTTTCCCATGATTCCACCACATTGGTATTTTTTCGATTTACATCCTACAAAATGGGGATAATTTAAAAAAGAAAGAACAAAAAAGTGTGGTCATACTACACTAAGCACCAGTGTTTTATGATCTAGAGATTAGCATATTAAAAGGACTCCACAACATCATTTAACATTTTATAAAGCAAACATACTTGGTTTGTTTTGCACAACTGACAAATTTTCAGACTGTTCTAAATTGCCACCTAATTTCCTCTCAATTCCCTTTAAATTAAAAGCAGGTTCCTATAAAGAGCCACTAAATACCAAAAATAACCAGCTTCCCCTTTCAGTGGAAGGGGCAAGGGAGACATTGCAGATCCATTTGCCTTCCTCAGCTAATAGACATTCAAACAAACATCTGTCTGCTGCTCTACTGATCCTCCAGGTCACTGACAGGATCAAGTGCAAATTTCCAAACTGTCCTCTTCCCATTCTCTGTCCCAGATCTTGATTTGTCACTCTGGTACTAGATGTTAACTCAACAGCGCAAGAGACACTGATAATTTCATCAGTCAATTTAATAGGGGAAAAATTAATTTAATAGGGGCTCTTTAGTGTACAGTGATTACCTTTAGAATGAGCAGATAGCCAGGAATGTTTCACAACTCATGTGCTGGAGGAATTTCACTAGGTCATTCATTAAATCCTTCCAGCAAGGGCACTGCAGATACTAAACTAATGCCATGCTCAATCATAATAAACCAAGTGCAACTAATCACACCTATGCAGAGGTATTAAAGTGACTTGTGGAATACCAGGCTCATGGAGAAAGAGGTCTCACTTACTGCCATAAAGTACAGCACACAGTCTGCTGAACAGATGGTCTCAAAAATAAAAGTAATCCGGCCGAGTTCTGACCCAGTTGCTCCAGTCACTGATGTTGGAGGTCTGTTTAACAGAGAAGGAACAAAATATGTATACAGTGCTCTCCAGACAGGCAGCAGTCAATCCTTCAAATTCCTTTTTGTTCAGTGAAGCCATCAAAGTCCTGTCATAGAATACCTGTCTTTGCAGAATGGTGGGAGCCTCTGCACTGAGTATTGGGTGCAGCAGGGTCATTTTTTAAGTGTCTAAGTTCTTTATTGTACACTTCCCTCCTTATAATGAACACGCAAATTTGACCATATTGGTAGGGAGCCTTATTATTAAAACACATTACATACTTCAAGTGATGTACACCAAGGTAATTGCATCTACCTCAGCTGGTGCGGAGGGTGGGGCTTATCTTCCACACCTTGCTGGTCTCAACATTCAGCACCTGGTCTGAGCTAGGAGTCTAAGCTCACTCTTTTGACAGAGACACCTCAAGCAGGTATTTCATCCTGTGTGAGTGTGCAGGAGTGGTGGCATTCTCATTCTCCTGCAGTGCCTGCACCTCCCCACTGGCTCCAAGGGAAGCACAGACTGTGGAGGCTGCCTGGAACCACAGAGCAAAGTAACTTGGGTTTCACTAAAATACTTTTAGGGCAGACTCCAGTGTCGACCCCATGGCAGGTTTAGCTGGTTACTGTGGAATAATTTAGAAACAGAGGATGGCAATATCTTTTCTCAGCTTCCAGACAGCCAGCTGGCTGCATCTTTGACTGAAGCAAATACTTCAGTCCAAGGTGTCCTTGCTAAAAACCAAAGTCCCACAGGCTTGCCTGCCTCAATAGACAAACTGGGGACATGGGAATAAAATTCAAGATTCCTCTTGTCTCCTATTCATTGCATTATTTCACTTCAGAAGGTAACACTCAGATTATCCCTGGGATAGTGTGAAAGAGGTATAAGAGACAGAAATAACTGAGAAACAGATGAAAAAATATCCCATTCCTTACTTAAATCCTGGGATGTGCAGGCTCAAGATAAGATAGTCATTGTCAGAGCCTCCTGCCCCACTCTGGATGTGATCACCAGCCACCTCCCAACCTTCACAGAACAGAAAAAAAAAAAAGTTCAATCAATGGGTGGCAAAGGAAATCTATGTTACCATAAATTTTAAACAATTCAGCATGTCAGTGTATTTTAAAGATGCCTGATATCAACTACAGAACAATATCATGATGATTTGAATGAAGAATTTTAGCAATTGTATGAACCGCTGATTTTACAGGCAATTTTCACCTTTCAAATCAGCAGAGCAATTGATATTCCCTGATCTGTGCTGTGCAGCTCAAGGGGGATAATCCATCTGATATCTTTCAGCTTTAAAACAGATGAATCAGTGAATCTGTGTGTTAAATGTTAAGCACATACTTCAGTTCCCCTCTGCTCAACATGCATAACTCAAAGCTTGAGTTACACCAGTCTGACAGGGTGGATCAGGCTGAGGAAAATCTGTCAGAGAAGGCTGGAGGAGTCCCAAACAGGATAATTTTCACCAGTGAGCTGTGACTGCTCTCTGCTGCAATTTTAGCACACGTGCAGAGAGAAAGCTCTGAGCACTAAAGGAATAAAATTACAGACTGTAATTTAGTTTTCCAAAAGAATTATTTGTGACCTCGATGGGCACAGTTATCACAAAGCAGAAAATGAGATAAACTAGGGAGAAGACAAAACAAATGCTTTTTTCAATGGGGATATGAATGCATCTGAAGATGCATTAAAGCCAGTGTGGGATAGGTCTGTGCTGAGGGAATTTCACATAGGCTGCTGCTCCTGCCCTCCTCTGGTATACAAGAGATTTTTTATTCCTTTATGATACTGTGACATTGCTTCCCACAAGAAATTTCAAGCCTGGTGCAACTAAAGGAAAGGGAGGAAACTGCTGTGAGTCATGCAGCTAAGAGCACACTTATTTTGGTGGGTGCTCCATTACCACAGGGATCCATGCAGGAGGAATGGGATCACACAAAACAAGGAGTTTGGCTCACCATTCATCCCGTCACACTTGGAGTTGCCAACATTAAAGCAAGATGTCTTCATGTTTCCTGGCAGGATGTTCCACCACTTGTACTCAAAGCCAAGAGCTGGCTCAGTCCCAGCAGGGCAGGCTTTGCACTCTAAGGGTGAGAGGGCAGAAAAGGATATCACACAGCCAAGGCACATGTCAAACAGTGCTTTAAAGTACATAGATACTGCTGTTTTACTCTCTGGTGCAAATAATAGGCAAAGAAAATAATTTATTTCTTTGTAGTTAAACAGTCAAAGACCTGTCAGGACCAGGAGAGTGGAAGTGAGATCATCATTTTGTAAATTGTAGATCATAACATCATGTTAAGTAATCTGCAACTGGTCCCCCATTTACTTTTTAATAGATTCAGATGAAAGTTTGATAAACAAGAGTTCCCCCAACATACTGAAGGGGACCACTGGGCCAATGCATCTCAGAATCACCAAGCCAGAGTTTAGGCTAGACAATGTTGGCAGGGTATTCATCTGACTGGGCTTAAAATGAGGTTTTTGCAGGAAAAAATTGGCATAGATAGGAGAATGGTTGAGGAGGAATTGCTGACTGGAAAATTCTGATTCCCCTCTCAGAATCCCTTAAAATAACTTTCAGGATGTTTATATCAGCTAAGAAATGCATCCAGAACACAGCAGGTCAACTTGGAGCAGTGATCCCTGATAAGAAAGGACTCAGGAGAGAAAACAGATATCCACATCCTGCTCTCCAATGTTATTTAACAAGTATTTAAAGCAAAATGAGCACAAGCTTATGATGATGTGTCACTAAACTAAGTCACATACAAGCAGATGACTGCTTTTGGAGACACAAAAAAATTTTTTGCAGACTCTTACCCTGTGTCCCATCCGAAAACGTGCCTGGTGGGCAGGGAGTACAGGAAGATGAGGCGTTGTTGTAAAAGCCAGGATTGCAGGGTGGACAGTCCTGCCTCTCTCCAGAAGGAGGTAGGGTCAAGGCATCAGGGAGATCCTCTCTGCAGATCTTGGGTTCAATCCACTTGTACATGATCTGAGTCTGGAAGGAGGAGACACTGAGCTCACACTGTGTACCATGAAGCTTTAGAAGTAGATGCACCAATTAAGGTCCCCCTTGTAAAGTAAATTAGGGTGTTCCCATCATTTGAGGTCAAAAACAGACCTTGCACACACAGGATAATAAAGGGAAGTGCAAGTAAGGGCAGCAGAAATGAGGTTCACAGGAGATTGCAAGATATGAGGCTTTAAGGATAAAACAAAAATGTGAAGCTTAAAACTATTATTATTTAATTAGTAAATTTCCTGTTTAATTAGTAAATTTAATTTCTCTTTATTTAGTAAATTTTCCATGCAAGGGGATTCTGAGGAACATCAGATAAATAATTCTAACTGGATATGCAATCTCTGCATTTTAACCCCAGTAACTCAAAATACAACTTCTGCTATATAAAAGCCCTTTATTTGGATTAGCAGAGAGAACTGAAGTTTTGCATTTTTAATTCATACTGGTCTGTTCTTTGAAAAGTCCCAAATTTCTCTCCTGCCATTTTTCACCTATTGAGAAGATGCCAAAACCATGCAGGAGCTCTCCCCAAGCCCCTCCAATCCCTTGTCATCACATAAAAAGCAGTTTATGAACACAAATTTGAATCAGTCCACAGTGTTACCATGGCGTCACCTCTTCATCATCACCTCCCTTTGAGGACACAAGTTTCTGTTTTCAGGAGGAGCTTTGGGTGAGATGCATCACACAGCAAGTTGTGTTTCAAATTTCATCTGACTTTGTGTCTCTCTCTGAAATGGTTTTACATCTCAAGATGAAACTTAGCTGAGTTCCACAGCTGAGAAACCCAACTGGCAAGAGTTTAACCTGTCCACAGTTCCCATTCTGGTACTTCCACCCTTTGGTCCCAGCAATCAGGGACCTTTGGGGCTGGAAGCTCAGGTAATGGAGATTTCACCTTGTGAATTTGATCCAGACCCCCTGTCACCCTGGGTGTTGAGCTACTTGCACTCAGGGTTAGCCCTCTGGTAACACAGAGCACCCGAAGCATTGATCCCTCTTGAAACTGTTCCACAGAATAAGCTGGAAGAAGCCTCAGTTCCAGCTCAGGCCCTGGCTCCTGGAAGCTCCAATGATGCTGAGGCCCTCACTCTCCATCCCTGCCTGTGCTTTGTTGCAGCCGTGGCTGTGCCAGGTCATGTTCCCTGGCTGACCCTTGGACACAATGCCCCAGCTGGACACTGGTTGTGTCTTTTCTCCATGGACTTGTCTGGCCACCTTAGCTCCACCTGTCACTGGCACAGGGTCCTCAAGCACTGAGGGACTGCTCCTGCTGCCAGAGTGGCACCTCTTCCTATGGATCAGCCTGTCCTTGCTGCTCCTGAACCCTTGGAGGATTTTCTGGAGAATCACCCCAGAAATGCTTCAGCAGATCAGGGTGCACAGTGTTTAAAATGAAAAGACTGAGGAGATGGCAAAGCACCAGAGCCCAAACACACAGCCTACCACAGGAATCCTCCTGCATCTGAGCAGGGAGAGCAGGGTCAGAGGGTGCCTGTGGCCATGGGGTGAGGGGTTTCTCAGGCTGGAGCTGAAGCATTCAACTTGGGATTTTTAAATCCCAGGTAGATGACAAGTCAAGAGCAAAGTGCATAAATCCCCAGAGGTCCCTTCTACACATGAAGTGGGACAGCAGAAAGGAGACAACAATCTATTGTTCAGTGAAAACCTGGCTTATTTCAGCAACCAGGGATCAATAGCCTGGTCTTTTACAGCCACTGTTCTCCTGTGGATGGCCTGCAGAGTCAGGCCCTCTCATTGAGCTGCATCACATGGAGAGATGTGGAGTACAGCAAAGCTGAACCTATTTCCAGACATGCAGAGCAGTGAAACCAATCCTGAAAACTCAGTCAGTATCTGTGTGCCTGTGACACCTGCTGCTGTCACTGCAGCTGGACAGGGAAGGCTGTCTGCAGAAAAACCCACTTTGCATCCTAATGATATCCATCAGTAAAGGCCACTGGAAAAGGGTCAAATAGCAGGAACTTGTTCAGTGTCAGGGAGACCTGGACCACACAGAGCAGTGACAGAACAAACCACAGGAGGCTGCAATTAGAGCTGCACCTGGGGGTGTAGCCATGAACACTGCTGCTGATTTCTTGAGTCTTTAGAGACAGAGCAGAAATCAGTGAGTCAAGACCAGGTTGCAGAGCCTGACAGCTCTGGGGCTAAACTCACTGATGCTTCGTTAGCAAAGCTTGCAAGCTCTAAGCTGCTTTTAGAACTCACTGATCATGAGACTTCAAAATACTCAATCCTGACAGCAAATATTAGGCCAGCAACACACAGGTGTTGGTGAATTTGACTATTTGCAATTCCATCTGAGAGATGGGATCTGAGAGAGATTGGAAAGGAAAGACATGAAACAGGCCTGACCATGTGTCCACACCTCTGTGGGCATCCTATAGCAGCAAACAGCAGTTTCTTCTCCAAATTCCTCCAAAAATTCCACTTGACTGCTAGGACAAAGCCAGACTGCTCCACCAGTAGGTCCCTCTATGAGAGACCAAGTGGATCTAAGGTCTCTGGGTGAAACAATGTCCTGAGAGTCCAGGTGATTTGAGGCATCCCATGGGACAAGCACGTTACCAGCAGCTAAGCTGACACACATGGACACTCCAGACTATGTATATACCATTATTTTACCAGACCACAGGCAAGAGTTTAACCTGTCCTTTGATGCTAAAACCAAGGGACATGACACACTTCATACCCATGCAGCCAAACACTCCTCTACCTGAAATAGAGATGGTTGTATCCACTGCTCCTGGGCCATGGTATCATCTGAATTATCCCTGGGTGCTGCAGGGACAGTCATCACAAGCTTAAAGTATGCCAGAAAGATTATTAACAACTAAAGAGATGGGTTTATGTTGGGACAGTGCTTCACCCTGTGTTCCAGCAGCATGGAAGTGTGGAAGCAGCCCCAGTGACCCCATCAGACCCTCACAAGTGCAAGGAGCTTATCATCTCAGCAAAACACATCCCTTAGGCAGACCCATTATCTGGCAGATTCTTACAGAGGGTTAAAGGCTGCAGAGAGGGCAGGCAAAGGACAAGCCCAAAGCCACAGATTTGATACTGAAAGCAAAATTGGGAAAGTAATTGGGAAATGAATTCCTGAAAAGAACTACCTTGCTTTCAAATGCAGGGATAGCAATAAGGTCGGTGAGCTTAAAAATAGTACCTTGCCTTCTACTTACTTTTCCCTCCTTATCACATGGGGTGTGGATCTGGAAAAAGTCTTTGCTTGTGCATGGAGGTCGCTCTATGCACGCACTGGATCCCTCCTCTAAAAGAAAAGGTGAGAAACAGGACATTAAATCATCAAATGGTCCCTAGAAACAAACATAACAAGCTTGAAATCTGGAGGTTAAAATGAGTCAGCAGAAAATTATAAACTGAAAAATCAAGCTTTTAATGGTGTCTGCCCCTGAAATGAAGCAGGGGAACAGGGGAAATACCAGCTGTGAAACACTGTCACACTGAAATTCACTGATTCAGTGTATTCAGGGACAATTATTAGGAAGAAGTTGCTTACTCTGAGGATGGTGAGACACTGGAACAGGTCACCCAGAAAAGTTGTGAACATCGCATCTCTGGGTTAAGGCCTGGTTGGATAGGTATTTGAGCAAACTGGTCTAGTGGAAAATTCCCTGCCCATGGCACAGGGCTTGGAATGAGCTTATTTCTAAGGTCCTTTCCAATCCAAACCACTATGATTCCATCACACCCTCCCCACTTCAAACAACAATTTATACAGTTTACAGAGCATGGAAATATTTTCTTACTTGATAAGGAACACAACCACTCTAATCCTGTAGAGACTTCCTTACAACACTGGCCCAATTTTTTCTCTTGCCAGATAATTTTGTAGTATTTCCATTCCCACTGTGAGCAGAGGCCCAGGTCCCCATGCATTTGCAGCCATTGGTGATAGCTGGTGCTATCAGTAACTGATAGGTCAGTAAATGATTCTTCAAGAACTTTCTAAAACTACTACAAGGAAGAAATTTGGAGACCTTTTGACTATGAAGAATAGATTAGGACCATGTCATTTGAAGATCACCACCTAATCATAGCTGGAAACACAGAACACTTTGGGACTAGGTTTTGCAACTAGATCACTTCATTTTCCCACCCCACAGGAGGCAGGGGCAAGCCAGGAGGGAGAGTTTGGAAAGGACATCCTCAAAACATGTTAAGGCTGAAGGCAGTGATGAAGCAAATTCCTGTCATTGCCAACTCATAACACAAATTACCACGAGAGGGCACAGCACCACCACTCTATTCTTCAGAAGAACTCTTCCCCTTCCTGCTCAAAAAGGCCTCCATCCCTTCATGCTAGCACTGATGGCACTAACAACGTTTGATTGCGGCCCATTATGCATCTATGTGCCCTCTGCATATTTTGGGAAGTCAATAATTTCCCCTTTAGATATCAGCTGGAGACTGTCACTGCTGGATACAACCGTGCTCACATCTGAAACAGCCCATGACTGCATATACTCAGACCTTCCTGGTTTTGCTTGTCCCACTTGGTTTATGTACCTGCATAATAAATTTCTTCTTTACACTTGGTGCACTCTTTAGCCCCTTTCTCAGAGTAAGTATCTCGTGGGCACACCTGGCAGCCAGAGGCACCTGGTTTGTCACTGAAGGTTCCAGGCTTGCATGCGAAGCATTCAGACGTGTACGCAACTCCTGTAAGAAAAATTCTGGGTAAAGCACTCAAAGAGACACATCTGTAACTGCTGCCTACCTGGGCTTATGGCTGAGAGCACACTGTGGGAACCCAGAACATCCCTCTGGCTGTCCAGGATGGCCAAGACCGCTGCCAGGGGGCTCAGAAGCCCTGGTATGGAGCCCAAAATGCCTGTGGTTTTGCTCCATAGCCATGGAGGAAATTACCAACCTTAAATGAAGATCAGCAAGCCATGACAGTTTATGTAGAATAACAGTGAAGTTATCACAGCGTGGAAAAGTAGATTTTAGGGTTTCTGGTACAGGGATTCAGGAGGCAAAATGGAGGGAACTGTGCATGTCCAGCCTTTCTCCTTCTTCTTGGCCTCCGTCTTCTGCTGTGATATTGGCACTTACAGATTGGTTTAGATTAGAAGCTCACTGTCTAACATAGGTGATAGGTGTTGGAGAGTAATTGTAAACATTGTACACTTAGTTTTTAGTATAAAAATATAACACTGCCCTGGGGGCAGGCAGAGTGCCTGGAACTGTCCTGCTGGATGGACCTTGGCAGGGCAGGAGAAAATTTTTTATAGATAAGATACAATAAACAACCTTGAGACCGAGAAATTACTCCTTCAAGCACTCAGGTTGGGAAAAGAAATTTTTAATATTCTCGGGGTCACAGTGACCCAAAAGACCCCGAGAGCAAACCAGCTGTATAAAACAGCATAAAAATCACACTCAGTTTCACCATTCACTTAAGACACTTTGGCTTTGCTGACCCATAATTTAAGTCTTTAATGTTTATACCTCAATAAAGTCTGACCCATCTGAGAACCTTATATGACACTCCCAGTTTTATTACACTTAGCCTAGGACCAAAAGAGCAATTCCAGGAAAAAAGAGGAATCTCAGGAAAAACATCTCAGGAAAAAACATTTGAATATTAATTCAACTGTCACTGTTATGATATATATCCAGTTATCCCTGTTGAGAGGGTCACCAAAAACCACCTTCTTTCTATCCTACAATAAAGAAAACATATTTATTCCTTTTTCTCTCTCTTTGCTAATCCAGTCTTTTCCAGTAGATGGCAACATTTTCCAGATAAACTAATTTTTCAGCCTTTCCTCACTGAGAAGTTTTGCTGTTCTGTTTCTACTCTTCAGAGGAAGAGACAGAGGGCAAGGGGCTAAAAAAAACACTTCAGTGCTGTAGGCACAGCAGCAGAAATAACACTGGGCAAACAGTGTGACAAAAGAGTGAGATAAAACCTCAAAGACAAATTCTACTTACCTTCAATTGTGATGTTCTTCACTAAAACTGGTTTTACAACTTTGGAGCCCATGAGAATCCCTGTTGTTCTCCAGTATAATATATTGCTACCTGATTTCAGAGTTACCTGCAACAACACATGTGAGTTAACAAACATCCTCTTGCCAAGACTTTGTTTCATTTCCTACTTCCATTCAAATTTCTTGCATCCTAGCAGCTTTTCCTGTGCTGTTTATTGGGTCAAGAGGTAATGGTAAAACAATAGACAGATGTTGTACAGACATATCTGAGGAGTGCCAAAATGTGCTTTATGGAAATGTTTCTCAACACCCCAGTTGGAAAAACACCAAGAGCTGTTTCTGACCTTGTTGTAAGCAGAATTTGGAAAAAGCTGTTCCTGTCTTTATCCAATTACCCTTGGCACTCAAGAGCTTTTATCTCCAGCCTTATGTTCAGATACAGTCAATCAGTTTGTTTTTAAAGCCTTGAGATACTCTTTCATAAAGAAACTCAACAGGACCCAGACTTTGAAAATCCAGTTCACAAGTGAATTTTGTTTATAGGTTTTAAAAATCAACTTCTATCTGCATGTAACACCACAGTATCAAGACCAGTAAGCCAGACACAATCCACGGCTATCTCCAGCAGCAGTCGCATCCCTCCTGCTCATTTCTGACTGCAAACAGCAAATGAGATGCAGAAAACAACCTGGTTTCTGACTGCCCTGACCCACTTGTGTTCATGGCATGGTGCAGCGAGTGACTGCACAACCCCTGTGGAAGGGTGGTGGGTTGGTGGCATTGTGAATGAGATAAGGGGCAGTAAGAAGGCAGGAAAACTCCTCCAACAGCAGTTTTGGTGCCTTCTGCCTTCAACTCTCTTGTGTAACTATGGTCTAACTCTCATCACTAAAAGCAGCAGGTTCACCAAGCCCCTGCCTGGCCTGGTGTTCCATATCTACTAGCCCAGTACAAGACGTTTAGTCCAATAGCAGGATAATGGCCTGAAAGTGCTGTATTTTCACACAAGAAGAGGGATAAACTCTACCAGCATAAGGGTCCAGGATAATGCAATTTACAGCAGGCCTGGCAGGACCACAGTTTTTGTTCACCCAGGATAAAGAGTTGAAAAATTTAGCTAAGTGGAAATACAGCATATTGTATCTCCCACACCCAAACATCTGCTACCCACAGGGGCAGAGGAGAGCTGAGCTATCATGTCTAACAGGGGAACTGGGACCATACTGAAACAGGCACCAGGTTGTGTGAGGTGAGGGACCCAACACCAGCTCCAGCAGCAGGACTCACCTGCTGAGAGCAGAGACTGCAGCACCTGGAAAATTGTGCTCACAGAAGACACCTTGACAGGATTTACAGAAAAAGCCCTTCAGGACAGACAGAATCATCATCTCACCTAGCCCATGTCTACATTTCAATCAGCCATCCCAACACATTTTATAGACAGTGAGGACACTTGCACATCCCAGATGAGGAGCTCAGATGGCACCATCTCCCATGCAGATTGCCTACATCCCTCTGGTCACCCAAATCAGCGCCCTGGCCTTGGATCTACCTCTCAGCTCATGCCTCTCGTCCCATCTCAGCCAGCTTTCCAGCCTCCCACTGTAACCTGCACTGGTTTTGCACCCGACCTAACAGGCACTCCAACCAGAGCTGCCTCAGGAACACAGTTTCTCCTCCAGGAGGAAAAGCACCCGATGGAAAACAGAGAGTGTGCAGTTGCCTATGCCCACAAAAGCCTTTTTCTTGTGGCACAATGTCCTCTGTGCTGGGCCTTTGCTGATATGGCTCTGGGGACAAGGGTGTGATGGTGTAGTGGGAGCCAGGCCTCAGCTGATGAGCTGGTCTGCGCATGATCCTGTGAATGTAATGTTCACAGGGCAAACTCAGGCAGCCAAAGGGCTCCTACTCCCAACACAGACAGGCTCATATCCCTGCTGCAGGAACCACCCTGGTGCTGCCAGCTGGTTTTTCACACAAGCCCCCATGGAGCAGAAGTTGGGTGCAGCCCAGTTCTTCTGCACACACTTGGGAATGAAATGCCCATCCTGCTTGTCTCCACATGCACACCCCACTCCCACTGCTCTGCCAAGGCACTGAGAATAATCTTGTGCTCTCATGAGCAAACAACTGTTGTACAAGATTTCAATTACAATCATGCAGAGTGATTGTGGCATGCAGATTTGCATAAATCTATTCAACCTCATAAAACACTTAATTCAAAGCCCACGGAAATCAATACAAACTCTTGCATCTATATAATTTCCTTTATGATCAGCTCCTTAGGGATCTCCATGACTTTTCCCCTCAGTGCTAGGAAAGCTCTGCTTCTTCAAATGCATTCACAGGAGCTGGCCCATGTTTGGTGTCTGGACAGAGGAAATTACAGACATTTAAAAATGGAAAAAAACTTCATTGAGGAATTTTTCACACACTTACAGAATGAGAGCCCCATTCCCCGTTGTCTGTGAGCTTCACCCATTTGTCTGCTGTGGACTCCATTTCTTTGCACTGGTCATTTTGAATCTGTTAATAAAAACACAATTATCAGTGACTTCAATCAGGTGCATCTCTCTGGCAGCATAATGACTACTGGGAATGATAAGATTCAGTTCTGCTCCTCTTGTCTGCATATTTAGACAGCTGCCTTACTTGTGGCAAGATAAACCCCAAACTTTCAACATCTGCAACAGCTTAACAGTGCCTCCACCAGCCCCCTCTGACATAGATGGTAAAAAAAGAGCAGGATGAGATGATCTCAGGCTTGTCCTCATGCTGTATGGGCAGACAAGGATGTTGAGCATCTTGTCTTGCTCCTTTATCCTTCTCCTGAGCCTACCAAGACTTAATTCTCTAAAATCCAGAGGTTTCTAAGTCATAGGGGAAGCAGGAGTGGATGGGCCAAAGCTGGAAGACAAAATGTTATCTCTACAGCCAATAAGGGCTTTCCCTTTGGCCTGCTGCCACATGGCCCAGGGATGAGAGTAAAGCTTTCAAGGCAGAGGCAACATGCCATGGGGAGTCTGTCCTGGCAGAAGTGGGAGGCTGTCTGTCCCTTGCCTGGGTCCAGGGCAGCTCAGAATCATTTCCTTACAGCAGGGTTTGGTGCAGCTCTTTCTTCTTATACCTTCTCAGATGAAAAGGTATCAAGTTCCCTTTGAGGCACAAGATCACATACTCAGCTTTTATTGCACCAGGGAGAAAGGCCACTTCAACACTTTCACACACTTGACCTGGAGTCAAGGATCCTCCTTAAAGTTGCTCCAAATCAAATCTGAAATAAGCTGTGCAACTCCACATCCTCCAAAGCATCTCTACACTCAATTCCCACCTAGACCAACTGCATTGAGGAAAAGAGGTGTGAAGAAGCACCTGTGTAGAAGGAAAATCCCTAATTATCTTGTGCAACCTGAGCTACAACACCCTTTTGTCTTGGTTCCCACCTGCAAAGAGGAGGTAAGAATATACAGCCTCTTCTCAGCAGATGTAAAGGGCTGCAATATGTAAATAGAGCCAAAGAAGGGCAGAAAAAACACCTCACCATTTCCCAGTGAAATGGTGCCACTGGGACTGAAATGCCAATGCCACTGCCACTGAAATGCCACTGTCCAGAGCTAAAGTGTCATTGTTAAATATATTTCAGCACAAAGGCATGCTGGAGGGAAAAAAATGACTTTTACAGGAGAATTAAATATGGTTTCCCTGAAATACTGAGGCTGACTAGGAATTTATGAGCATTTCTATAAGGGGCTGCAGCACTCATTGCTTCTTGAACAGGGAATGATAAATTCAGAGAAGGCGAATGAGTGGGATATGGACAAAAGCAATAATCAAGAAGCCATTCTCAAAGCCAGTGCTCACAGAAACAATATATTTACAGATCCGCCAGTCAGTCAAGCAACTGGAGCTGGGATTCATAATCCTGGCACACTCACCTGACAGCAGAAAGCATGGTTGCTGCTTTATTCCCATGAAGAAGGCAGGGTAGTCTAATACGAAACAGAAATGCCTAAGTAACATTGCCTGCATGGTCTGTTATCCAAGTGCAGCAGCAAGCTATCACACTGATGGAGCAGCATGAAGGTGCCTCCAACAGGTAATTTTTGTCTTCCTTTTCTGGCTCTACTAAGGATAAGACACTTTGCACTTTTCCCCAAACTTCAATAAATGTTAACCAACACCAGCTAAGAGTTCTCACTCCTGTGAGGTGCCATGAGCTGTGTCCTTCTGATGAAAAACAGAGCTTGTCAGACAGGTAAAGGGGCAGTAACAGAGGAGACTGAAAACTTCCAGTCATCTGCCTCTCTGAGTCACCCTCCCATCACATTTTTTCTGTCCCACATGGCAGGTACAACATGACAAGGACAGTGGAACCTTCCAAAGCACCTCAGTAATGTGGGGCATTTATACCCCACTGCAAATCCTGGTGCTGGGAACCCTCCAGCTCACTGGGCAGCAGCCAGTCCATCCAGGTGGGCAGAGAAGGGCTGCCTTCCCCATTCTGCTCACTGCTGACCAGAGAGTTCCAGCAATTTGAGCACACCATGGTGCAAGCCCAGCCAAGCTGTTCCCATGTCAGAGCTAATGATCCCCAGCCCCTCCTTTTCACAGCATGGACACATCCTCAGAGACTAATTCTTGCTGAAAGCCACCTGAATTTCTCCTGCTTTTCTTTTCATCTTAATTACTAAATTACTAGGACACAAACTGACCTAAAACTAAAGGTTTCCACATAGTACCACCTTGGAGGAAGTCTTTTTACATGTCAAGTCCCTTCAAAGACATCTCAAATCTGACACCCCTAAATAGGAGCATCTACCACCAACACCTGTCTTGCAAAAGGATGGACTAAATGGGGCAGTCATGATCCCTAATGGCAAAATCCCAGTGCATGGCAGACAGAATCAGTTCAGACTGAGTTCTGAAGATTAAATAAATGCCACAAGACAGTATAAGTGACAGAAATAGAAGCAGAATTTTTTATATCGTTCAGAGATAACAAGTTATGGGCATGCAGGGAACTTAAAAGGGAGAAAACTGCTGCTAATGATCTGGGGTGAATTCTTGCAAAATAAGGTTGGATTCACCATTTTAAAGGCCTTACAAAAAATTCAAAGAAGATGTTGTTGTCAATATACTGGTACTCAAAGAAGACAGAGCCGGATTTCTTCAGGTGCACAGCGTAGATGAGAGAAACCGTACAGTCATCCCTGTTGGACTCGATGTAATTCCCTCGAGGTGTCCATGAAGAGCTGGGGAACATAAACAAAACAAGCCTCAACTGAGATCACAGATACTGAAGAGACTTTTTGTACACTAATACACAGCAACATGTTACATAATAAAGACCCCTGAATCCCAAAACAGCTAACTGCAGTGAATTTTTAAAATTATTACAGGATCTCCATTTATTTTTCAGATATAGTAAATGTAATAATTTTATTTTATATCTTTATATATAATTTTATATAATAATATATATTATATCTCATCTATTATGTAATATAATTATACACAATATAATATATTATATTATATATTATTTTGTATAACAATAAATAATAATATATAATTTTATGTACTATAAATATTTATTTTACATATAAAAACATATTTCAATATAAATTATATATGCATTATTTATGTATAATTAATATATAAAATAAAATTATTAATAATAATAAATATATAAATAATAAATCTTTCTAATAGTATAAATAATAAATTAATAACAGATAATGTAAATTCTCTCTATATACAAATTATTTTATATATTTATATATAGTATATCATAATATATAATAATATATAATAATTTTTAATCATTTTATTTTATATCTTTACATATTTTTATATGCTACATTAATAATATTAAACAATATTTTTCACTGAAACTGTGCAAGGGAAAGGATATGGTATGAAAAATTTAGGACTCAGCCTATATAAGAAAGTTCTATTATCCACAGGTTCAATATACCTTCAATTACACTCAGAAACAGCATTCTGCAAGCACCACAGGTCCCTAAATAGGCCATAAAAGGACCTTTTACTATAAAGCCACATTCACTATACCATGACCCAAATAAGAGCAGCTCCAGGCTGGCCTTAAACTCAGTGGCTGCTGATGAGCCCAAGGAGACCACGGTGACAGCAAAGAGGTGGGGTACAGATTTCACCTCCCAGCCACCCTCCTTCGCCATTAGCAGGGCTGGCTGCTCTCTGCAGAGCTTAGGTGAGTCATTAAGCAGCTTTGTGCTGCTGAGCTGTCCCAGGTTTGCCCCCAGCTGCCCAGGCCAGGCGCAAGCAGGGCTCCTCACTTGTTGCAGCTGTCGGCTTTGCCCTCGGAGGAGCTGAGTGCCGTGTCCATGAACGTCGCCACGTTGGAGAATCCTGCTGGCAGCTCATCCCACTCGTCAAACTTGATCCCACTGCCCAGTGAGTAGGTCCCCTCTGCACACTTGCTGCACACCTGGTTCTTCATCTCCAGGTACTCACCAGAGGCACAGGAGAAAGCTGGGGAGACAATAATTTACAACATAGGAATGAATTCATCAATCCTTATTAATTTCCTTCTTTTTTTTTTCTGCCACTTAATTAATTAAGATTGAACTGCCACTAAAGGGAACCAAACAGAATGTCCCAGTCCCAGGAACATAACAGCAGAACTACCAACATCATCAGCAAAATTGAGATGTTCATCTGGGTTTTCATTGGAGTGGCAGCACTAAAACCAAACCCCAATGACAGCTCCTAATTGAAGCTTGCTTCCATTGGCAAAAGAAGATTTTTAGAAACAAAATCTCTATTGACAGATTGTGTCATAAAGCAATTTGTGAAAACGAGGATTTATAATAGTTCTCCTTACACTTGCTCACCCAACTGTTACACTTTGAACTCAATTAAAACCACCAGTACTTGAGAGCCAGAACAGACTTTTCTACTCACCTAGGCTAAGAAGGGCACACAGCAGCAGGCTGAGAATCATATAACACTACAAACCTTGCCTGAGAGTAGCAGACCTAATCCAAAGACCTCTCTGTGTTTCTCCTCACATGAACTACCTACAAAGCCTCAAACATCTTGCCTGATAGACCATGTGGTCTTGGAAAAGGTCACCCACAGGGTTGTGACTAGAAGATGAGGATCTTTGATTAGGGTGACATTAACATGCTGAGAAAATAACCACTGGTTGTCAGCACAGCAAAGACATTATTCAAAATCTGTGTAATTAAGGGAAGTACAATTAGGAGGTATATTCACAAAGTGCTTTTTTTTCTGATGTCTCTACAATTATTTCCTCCTAACAGCTGTATGCTCCTTGTCCCCCGATCACATCTCTGCCTGCTAAGGGAAGATTATTCCCATTATGAAAGAGATACCTGAACAGTAGCTGAAGTCCTGTCAGCCCACAGAGTCCCATGCCTGTGTCAGGAATCATAATTCCTGCCTGGACACTCATTTCAATGGCATGCCATCCCATTTTCCCTCAGTACCATGCTGCATCCTGTCCTCTTTGAGACTGAACATCCTGAACGAAAAACAAATGAGCACTTTCTGCAGCCCATAGTACTTCCTACAATGTTTGCAGGTTTTTAAACTACGCCAGTCAAGCCAAAGCAGGATCCAGAGCAATGCACACAACTCACATCCCAAGAAATGATGGGATTTTCTTCTGTTTCACACATGCCACACTGCACAGTGACAGATCTTTCAGACACTCTCTTTGACAGACATAAACTCATTAGCCTGGGAAACTGCAGGATGACAGCAGACTGGCAGCCACAGTGGTGAAACTGGCCCAAAACAATGACGTCGGCTGAAGTCCCAGAAAATGTGGTTCCACAGATGTGCCAGTGTTTATCTAAGCTGCAGAAAAACTTGCTTTATTGTAAGCACTTTGATTAACTCATGGCTGTGTAACATGAATCTCCATCTGAATCCAACTAACAGTTCTGGCTCCCATTTCTGTCCCAGTACCAGCAGGATTTCTTTCTGTAATTGTCCTTAGTGCATGCCACTAGAAAGCAGATTAAAGGTCTGTTTTGATGGAGTGATCTGCCAAAGGGTCATTTTTCCTTCTTGGCCCTATCAGTATACTCTGAACTTGAGACAGATTTCTAACCCTGTTGCTCACTGGTGATAGACCAAGAAGGAAAGTGGGCAGGATCCAGGCAGAGATGGGTGTGGGGTGGGAATAAACAAAGAAATCCTGCCATGATGGATTTCTGTGAAAGACTGACAGACAGACAGAATATCCCCCCTCAATAAGGGCAAATGGTTCATTATAAGCAGTGGTACACAAGACAGAGCTAACACCCCACCTGACTGACTGTGTGACCTCAGCTCAAGCCATAGGATCTCCCTACACGTGGGGTGGGAAACAGCTTCCTTCAGAGATTTGGGAAAAAAAGCACTAAACACATCCTTGTGTGTCTGAACTGTGACCACACTTTGTACAGCTTTTCACCTTAAATATATAAAGATGTCCTGACTCATGGCTTTAGTATAATTAATAAATCTTGCTTTATTTTTTTCTTTTGAAGGGTGCAGAGAGAAGCTAACAGGCAGGGAAGCAGAAAAGTAAGCTCTCTCATGACATCTTTGAATTCTTTAATAGTTTCAACTTTTTTTTTTTTGTTTTTAGAGAAAGCTAAATAGCAAGAAATTGAGAGTGCTGCTTAGCCATTCCAGAATCATGAAATTCAACTAAGGAGTCAAGAACCGTGAGCAATTCACTGCCACAATGAAGATGCTGAGGGCAGCAGAGCCTCCTCTTCCATCACAGTGAGGCTGAGCAGAGATTTTTACTTTAGCTGAACTAATATGTTTTAACCCCTTGCAAACTGTTCATTTGAGAGAAATAAAAGAGTACAAGAGATCAGGCCAGCTGCTGTGCAGGACACATCATCCATCTCTCACCTTCCAGAAAATAGGTGAGCCTTTATTTTATTTAGGTGGGGAATTACCTTCTTTCCTTGTAAGAATTGTATTTAACAGGCAGCAGCATTTCCCATCAAAACACATTCCCCTGCAAGCAAACTGGCTCTGAGCATGCCAGCTGCTTGCCAGGTTCAATTTGGGGCTGAATGTGGCTAATGGCAACATGAACCACTTTCAACATTGGAACAGATGCAGCATTTGGTCTCGTTCCAGCTGGAGAAGGGTGGGGAGGAAATCCACTGTGTGGTGAGCATGAAGATGGTCTCCTCTCCTAGAGTCCCACAGCTTGGTCTTTCATCAAGGGGGAGACCAAAAACAGGGCAAACTTTCTTTAGTCTAAATTGCATCATTTCAAGAGTTCATCCCAGCTGGAGACAGGGAGATCAGTCACTTGTGGAGGGACAGAGCACAGATCCATCCCAGGGCATCCCAGGAGCTTCTCCTTTCTCATGGCTACTCCATATCACTAAGACATAGCTGAGCACAGATGCAGCACTTCCCAGCAGCCACAGAAATAGCTGGAATTATTGCAGCACTGCTGTGTTTGTGAGGGTGACACACACGAGATGCTGCCAACAAGAAGGACTGCATCACAACTTAGGAAGTTAAAGAGTGATGCAAAGTTTTGGGAACACAAATTCTGTATTTTAGGTGTGTGCTCTGATTTGTCCTCCACTTAATCCTCTCTCTTCAGAATCCAGAGGAAAAAATATTCTTCCACATTAGAGGAAGATTCTGTGAATACCCTTGACCCCAGAGACCATTTGTTTAGGCATTTGATACATTATTTTCAGAGAAACCATCTCTACTGAATAACTGGACATCACTGTTTTCTGTCCCTCTCTAACTGCAAACTTTACTATTACACCTCTCAAATATCAGTTGGGCTGTTACACCCCAACTTACACAGAGCAATGCACATTGTGAAGAATGAATGTGATCTTTCTTTCTGCAAAGAAAAGTCTGAATGCATGAAAAGATTTCATAATTTGCCCCATCATGGGCATTTTAAAAATTATAAGAACATTTCCAGAGGCAGTTAGGAACAGCATGACACACTGTGGTGCTGGATACACTGCTGCCTTTGGAGCTGATACAATTATTGGTGATTTGAAGCTGCAGCTTTCCTAAATAACTACAGAAGGAAAAAAAAAAGATGCTGTAGTTTGTAGGTGACTAGTCTTTCTCACAAAGATGTTGTAAAGTACAGTTTAACTAGACATTGCCACAGGCAGCCACACATATTCCTACACACATGCAATAAAGCTGACAGCGTATGTATGCACTTAATAAAAAATTGACATGAGACCCAGTGCTAATAGCTACCACTGTATAAGTGTTGTCAAACAGACGTCATTACATTCTTTAAAGAGATTACAAGTCACTTGATGAAGGTGATGGAGTGGACGTGGCATTCATATTTTCTGGAAAAATCCCTTTGCCCAGGATTTTGCTCCTGGGAAGGTGAGAAGCCTCAGAGAAAAAGGAAAACAATAATTATCTGATTTGCTTCTCCTGTGTTGTGCTCATGTGGAATGTGGTTGGAGATTGTTTCCCCACAGGTGATTGTTTCTTTGGATTCTGCTGTGAGTTGTTTTCATTCAATGGCCAATCAGGGCCAAGCTGTGTCAGGACTCTGGAAAGAGTCAGGAGTTTTCATTATTATCTTTTTAGCATTCTGTAAGTATCCTTTCTGTATTCCTCAGTATAGTTTAGTATAGCATTCTTTATTATAATATAGTATCATAAAAGAGTAAATTAGCCTTCTGAAAACATGGAGTCAGATTCTTCATTCCTTCCTGCCACGAAGGATTCCACAAATAAAATAGAGTGGATGTCACAGACTCAAGGTTGCTAACACAGTTAGCTTAGTTTTGCATGTCACTCTGATGAAGAAAGGTGGGGAACACCTTAAAGGGATTGAGAACTGCCTGAGTAACAGATCTCAGGTGGGGCTGTTAGAAATTAGAAATTATCCTTGAGCAGGGAGGAAGGGGGCAGTTCTGCCTGCCCAGGACTGAGTCTGATGGCTGCCCACATTTTTCTCAATGATCTGCTGGCAAAAAGAAAAGGAATGGTATCAAGATTGGCAGGGTAGAGGCTGTTGCCAAGCCTGAGCCCACTCAAAGTCAGTGTGCTGACACTAGTGAGATCTGGATCAATTCAGAGGTGCAGGTAGAGATATGTAGGATGAAACATGTATTACAGAGAAGAATATTGTTATAATGCTGCATATAGATATGATTTGGCATTTTTAGGAGGTCAGTACAAAACAAAAGGATTTCAAATGGTTTTAAAATTAGAGGTAATGTGCTCCAGTGAGAGATCTGAAGTGCTTAATCTAGTTAGTTTATCACAAGAAGATTGCAAGTCAACTTGATTAATATATAAGCATCTCCAGGGGGAGAAAACACAAGATCCTGCTGCATTTTTTAATCAAGCAGACAAATGCATGAGAAGAGCTACCTTCTGGAAGCTGAACCCAAACAAACTCAAATTAGAAATAAGGCACAGATTTTTAATAGGAGGAATGACTGACTGCTGGAACAATCTGTCATGGCATGTGATCGACC